GTGTTGGGGTGGGAGTTGCAATTTGTTACTTTGTATGGGGGAAAGGGAAATTAGTTTTGGGTTCAACTATGTAGTGCCGATACTTTGTTTCCTGAATAAAATGTTCTTTAAGGAAGAATTCTTGCCTTGCATTTCTTTTGATGGGTTTCATCTATCGGAACCATGACATTACCTGTATAAGCCTTGCTAGGCTAAATTGTTCTGAACAAGTTTGTATTGGTAGAGCCAGAGTTGCTTGTTGCAGCCCAATTAACAACACATTTACACATGCAAGCAGTCCTTGACTTATAAGTCATTTATTTATTTATTATTCATTTAGTGACCGTTCAAAGTTACAGCAGCACTGAAAAAGCAACTCATGACCATTTTTCATACCATTGCAGCATCCCCATGGTCACATGATCAAAATTTAGACACTTGGCAACTGGCAGGTATTGATGATGGTTGCAGTGTCCTGGGGTCAGTTGTTAAGTGAGTTTTGCCCCATTTCACGACCTTTCTTGCCACAGTTGTTAAGTGAATCACTGCAGCTGTTAAGTTAGTAACCCGGTTGTTAAGTGAATCTGCCTTCCCCATTGATTTTGCTTGTCAGAAGGTCTCAGAAGGCGATCACGTGACCCCAGGACACTGTGACCGTCATAAGTATATGCCAGTGGCCAAGCATCCAAATTTTGATCATGTGACCATGGGGAAAATGATAATAAGTCACTTTTTTAAGTGCTGTTGTAACTTTGAATGGTCACCAAACAAACTGTTGTAAGTTGAGGGCTACCTGTATTCTATATTATGCATTCTTTTTCCCAGCCCATATTAATTTAGCTTGGCAGCCCTGGTGCAAGGCCTCTTTTCTGCCTCTCTCATGCCTTCCTTCTCTTCCCAGGGGTGAGCCTGCCCTGCAAAGCCATACAGTCACAACCCAACCCGACACGTCAGGAATGGAAGTTCCAGAGAGATGGCATCACCCTGCTCTTTTATCATGCCAACAAGTTCACAGGTGGGTAGTCCGAGCGACTGGGTGATTACTGAGTGGTCCACACTCCAGAAGATAGGCTTAAGATACAGGAGGATCTGGACAGACTTGAACACTGGGCGCTATCTAACAAAATGAAATTCAATGGTGAAAAAAATAAGGTTCTACATTTAGGCAAGAAAAACCAAATGTACAGGTATAGTATAGGGGGTACCTTATTCAATAGTAGTAACTGTGAGAGGGATCTCGGAGTCCTAGTGGACAATCACTTAAATATGAGCCAGCCGTGTGCTGCAGCTGCCAAAAAAGCCAACATAGTGCTGGGCTGCATTAACAGAGGGATAGAATCAAGATCACGTGAAGTATTAATACCACTTTACAAGGCCTTGGTAAGGCCGCACTTGGAATACTGCATCCAGTTTTGGTCACCACGATGTAAAAAAGATGTTGAGACTCTAGAAAGAGTACAGAGAAGAGCAACAAAGATGATCAGGGGACTGGAGGCCAAAACATACAAGGAACGGTTGCTGGAATTGGGTATGTCTAGTTTAATGAAGAGAAGGACGAGGGGGGACAGGATAGCAGTGTTCCAGTATCTCAGCGGCTGCCACAAAGAACAGGGAGTCAAGGCAGAAAGCAGGACAAGAAGCAACGGATGTAAAACTAACCAAAGAGAGAAGCAACGTGGAACTAAGGAGAAACTTCCTGACAGTTAGAACAATTAACCAGTGGAACAACCTGCCTCTAGAAGTTGTGATTGCGCCAACACTGGAAGTTTTTAAGAAGAGACTGGACAGCCATTTGTCCGAAATGGTATAGGGTTTCCTGCCTGAGCAGGGGGTTGGACTAGATGACCTCCAAGGTCCCTTCCAACTCTATTATTGTTGTTATTTTCCAAACTCTGTGTGACTCTGTGTTTGTTGGGATCTTGGTCTGGAACAACCCCTTGGAACAGGGTGCTTCCCAATAGGTTAGAATGGTACTGCCCAAAATCTGTGCTGGCTGTGGATTATGGGACCTAATCCAAGAAATTTGAATGGTGCCAGTCTGGGGAAGAAGTTGTTGTAGTGTTTCTCGACCAGGGAAGCTTGAAGTTGTGTGGACTTCAACTTCCAGAATTCTCCAGCCGGGGAGTTGAGGTCCACCCATCTTTAAGCAGCCAAGCACTGGCAGATCTGATGTGCCTGGCCCACATCTGGAAAGGTAGATTAATACTTTTACTTTTACTTTTATTTAATTTCTACCCCGCCCTTCTCCCAACGGACTCAGGGCGGCTTACAGCCATTTAAAACAATACATAATACAATAAATACTAAATTTAAAAAGTAATTAAAACAAAATATTAATTGGCCATTTCTTTTTAAAATTGTTTTAAAAAACCAGATTAAAATACCCCTTAGGCCAGTCCCGCCAGCTGAAATAGCCATGTCTTGAGGGCGCGGCGGAAGGAGGGGAGATCCGGGATCACCCGGATCTCTGGGGGTAGTTCGTTCCATAGGGTGGGGGCTCCAACCGAGAAGGCCCTCCCCCTGGGGGTCGCCAGCCGGCACTGTCTGGCTGACGGCACCCTGAGGAGACCCTCTCTGTGGGAGCGTATCGGCCGATGAGAGGTAATCTGCGGCAGAAGGCGGTCTCGGAGATAACCAGGTCCGATGCCATGGCGCGCTTTGAAGATGATAATCAACACCTTGAAGCGCACCCGGAAAGCCACCGGCAGCCAGTGTAGCTCGCGCAACAGCGGCGTTACATGGGAGCGATGAGTCACTCCCATCACCGCCTGCGCAGCTGCATTCTGGACTAACTGGAGCCTCTGTATAATATCTCTATACAGGTAATCCACAACTTCTGATCACAGTTGGGCCCCAAAATTTCCATTGCTTAGTGAGACATTTGTTAAGTGAGTTTTACCCCATTTTACAACCGTGCACGGTTATGCAGTGAATCACTGCAGTTGTTAAATTAGTCACACGGTCGTTAAGTGAATCTGGCTTCCCCATTGACTTTGCTTGTCAGAATGTTGCAAAAGGGGATCACGTGACCCCAGGAGACACTGCGACCGTCATAAGTATGAGTCAGTTGCCGAGTGTCTGAATTTTGATCACGTGACTGGGGGGATGCTGCAATGGTCATAAGTGTGAAAAATGGTCCTAGATCACCTTTTTCATTAATGTTTAACTTCAAACGGCCACTAAATGGACTACCTGTATTTATGTACACAAGCAAGCAGAGGCATCTTGCCCAAAGAGGAAGCAACTTAAAG